TATTTATATATATATTATTTTTTTTTTATACACACACACGCACACACACACACACATATATATATATATATATATATATATATGTCATAATCATTAATATTTTATACTAAAATTTTCATTTTTTATTGCAAAAAAATTATATGTGTGTTTGTAATTGTTTTTGCTATTTTATGTTGTTATTCATTGATAGTATTCAGTGAATTCAGTCATTGGACCAGATTTTATGGTGTCTTTTTTGGTGTTTGAAGAGTAAAATATGATTTAAAAATAATCAAGTTTTTCACACTTTTTCATTAAATGGAATGTAAAGGAAGAAAAATTTATATATTATGCATCAGTACAACTGTGTATAGTAATAAACAACAATATATTCCTGGATATATTTTTTACTTGAACATTTTAAAGCATGCAAATTACCATAAGTGATGAAGCTAATGAATCATTGAACCCATTCATTGAAACAAACAGTTTGAAAGAACTGATTCGTGGCAATGAATCAAAATAGCCTGTTGGTGAGATCTTTAGGAAACATAATGGCCAAATAAAAAATGATTTTGTTTCTGCAACAAATGAATTTGGTAAATATTCAACGTACTGCTCAGCCTTAGTATCAGTACCTGAGTGCTGTGTGTACCGCAGTGCAGTGCAGCGGAGTGAAGATGCATGGAGGTGACGTGCAGGGCAGGGTCATAGCAATAGTCCCGCTGCTTCGTCACGGCGGGGTCGCCAGCTGAGGTCGGCTTTAATTAAGGCTCAATAACAGCGGCTGCTCTGAGAAGGCTATTTACTTCTGTCAGCGCTGACCGCCCCTCCTCCTCTTCCCAGCGTCGCATAGATGTCCGTGTTGGCACAACAGCCGTGTTTTGCCCCTTTAGAGGGCCCATGGGAAGGAGAAAACTGTGGGAGCAGCGCTGTGCATCCAAACACGTGCGGCAGCGACACAAAAACACGCGAAAAGGCCTTGCAGTCTCTCGCCGTTGTTTTTGCGGGGTTTTAGTCTTTATCCTTTTAAATGCGCTTTTTATCTCTTTGTCATTTAGATCGAGCGTTTCGGGTTGAAAGCGTTT